ACATACATACATACATACATACATACATACATACATACATACATACACACATACATACACATACATACACATACATACATACATACACACATACATACACACAGACAAACTTACACACATACACGTACATAGGATATATATATATATGCATACATGGACATACATTTATATATTTCAGACTTACCGGTAAACGCTACCATTCTCACATGGCTGTTGTATACTGTATTGTGGTCTGCAAAAATGCGGCGGGAAGAGCCCTCTCCTTCTCTTGTTCCTTCTCCTTCTCTTTCTCCTTCTCCTTCTCTTCCTCCCTCTTTTCCTCCTTTTCTTTTTTCTCTTTCTCCTTCTACTCTTCTGTTCCTTGCCTCCTATGCTAGTGTTTTATCCTTTTCCTTTTTCTCCTTCTCCTTCTACTCTTCTGTCCCTTGCCTCCTGCGCTAGTTCTTTTTTTTCTCTTTGTGGCAACCCCTGACCACAAACAGTGCGGAAAAATATCCCAAAACGCGTCGGAAAAAAAACGAAAAACAATTGGTCGCCCTCTATTCGGTGCTGTTCAATTTAGAAACAAGGTGAGCCCAGAAACCAAAAGCAAAACCATGGAACACATGAAGAGGAATCCCAGTGCAGGTCGCGGCAGTAAATTTTGCAGCATACAATTTTCCACTTCAGCACTGGTAAAAGCGTGCCACCTCAGCACCTCTGCAAACGCCCCGCCTCACAACCAGTAAAAGGGTCTTCTCATCCAATATAGTTTGCCGGTCGCTCATATCCAATCAAGTGCTTTCTTGCATGATATCAGATGATATATCATCGCTGGTATGGCTGTATTGGTGCCCGTATGATCTGATTCGGTTTGGTGGATGGATTGATGGTTCCATGGCTACATCTATATTATATAGCTGCATTATATTACAGTGTGTGTATATATAAGTATATATATAGCATTCCAATTCATTCCATATCTATCCAAAACCACCACGCATCATGTCACCACATCACAAAGCAGGACACATCACACCGCCACATTTTCTCTTCTCATTCTCGCGGGACGATCTTCCACAAGGTGAGTTGCAGAGGTGCCATTCAAACAAAAGGGTTGCAAGAAAATGGACCGTTTCAAAGGGTTCTATCGTTGGCGTTTAAAATTCTACGATAATCTCCGCATTCCCATTCACCTTGTGTGTGTGACAGGTATTTGATTTACAGCAGCCAACTCAGAAATGTTTTAATTCCAAACACAAGCTTGAGCTGTGCACCTTTTCTTCAGGCGCAGGCTTTTGCAGAAAGGCCTAGAAGCATGGTTCCCGTTTCCCAGCGCTCAAAAAGTCTCAGAGGAGTTTCGGTCGAGATCCGCTTTGCAAATCTCAGGCTGGATGCTGCCAGTGAAACGGCCCGTCTCGTCTGGAAGCTGAGCTGTCAACGAGTTAGTGTCGTTGATTTCCAGCAAAGTTTGTATTGTTTGCCAACCCAGCTGAGGTGACGAACTGCGCTGCACTGGAATTTTGGTTCTTGGTTGCAATGAGCTAGCGCTAGCAGGGTTCGCAGGCTTTCCAAGGGTGTTTTCTCTTTGGAAACTGTGTCCAGTGAGATGAATCGGTGTTTGCGGCTGACGCTGTGTGTATGGCGACATGCGGAGTGTTGGCCTGCTGCTTTGCTTCTGGGGGTTTCTCTACCCTGGTAGTCAGTGTTTGGTTGCATTTGCTGTTAAGGTTTGTGGCAGGCAAGTTACAGGCAAGCGGCGAGCAGCTTCGTCCAGGAAAATTGAATACTGTGGAGCAGGACTAACTGACTAACTTCGTGCTTAAACAATCTGTCAAAAGACGCAATCCCAGCTTCGTCCAGGACTAACTGACTAACTTCGTGCTTAAACAATCTGTCAAAAGACGCAATCCCAGTATAAGAGGATGCGCATGTCCGAAGCCAAACCCAGCCCAATCCAGCTCTGCCTATTTCGCAAGAGGCTTTGTGGGATTTTGTGGATTGTGTGGGGCGAACGGTCCGTTGCGGCTTCAGGTTAGTGTTTGGCCCTCACGTTGTGGTTGGGACTGCCGGTTTTGGCTCGTTTTGATGTGCTGAGTGCGCCCTAACGTAGCCTCCAGTGAGTAGTTTGGGATAGCAAAGGGTGCTGCAGAGCAACTGGCCATGATGCCCTTTAGGACCCACACGTTCTTGAGATTTCTTGAGCATTGCCCTTGTTTAGTTGGAAGATGTGACAAACTTTGTGGTTGTCAACGCTGCCGGTGCGCAAGCACTCCTCACAATGGACAGGTTAACATCAGACGAACTGTCGCCAGAGCCTGCGGAATTCTTTTCCGACTGCTTGAAAATCAATGAGGCATTGGGGATGTTGGGGTTGGCTTTGTGGTGATCCACACAGATTTCGGATGTGGTCCCGTTGTGAGGCAGAGCCAAAAGCATCTTTACGGACCTTGGAGCTCAATGTGCTCACGGCCTTGGAGCGATTCTTGAAAACTAATCCAAGTGAAGAAGACGTGCCGCCTTCCATATCAATCATGCATCAGACACCAGTGGGCGATATCAAGTTAGCCATCCCATCATGGAACGTGGCTATCATGGTGGGCCTCCCTCCGGATTTTTTTCAGCGTCCACCAGCTGACAGTGGCTGGGGAAGCACCGGTGAAAATGAATTAGATCACGGAGCCTTGCCTGGCGATTTCGTGCACAGTCTGGGAGAAACTGTTGAGCTGGAAGCTCCTTGTGACGAAAGGACGCCCATGCCAAATTCAAGCCAGCATGGTGGGCCGGACAATTGCTTGCTGGACTGGCAAAGGTTGCCAGCGCTCAGAATACGGCTCTTGAAGCAACTCGGTTGGAGAGTTGTGCAAATTCCATATTTTGAATGGCGAAAGCTCCTCAGATCAGAAGAGTTGAGTTTTCTAAGACAACTTTTACGGCGTTCGACAAATGGCTGGGGCGGAACTTGAGTTTGAAACTGCAACACCTGTTTCGACTCATAGTATCATGGAGCATGACGTATTCATAAAACGCTGAACTGTCATGTTTGCTCTCATAAAACAAACAAGGACCGGCCAAATGACATAAATCATACAGTACAGTCATACCATGTCATATCTCACCATTGGAATAATAACGTTGTTGGAAAAGGCACCGATAAGCATGTTTGAGTAATAGGTGTCCTTCCTCAAGGAGGCACTTTAAGACCTTTGCCCAACAGCAGCCGTGCCGACAACATGGCTGCAGAGTTGATCTCCAGTTGATTAGCAGCAGATTTAAGCCAGGAACCTTGGCTGCTATTTGCAATGTGAGTTCAAGTTAAAATCTTGATGGTTAATGCAACATAAAGCAAGGGTGCTTGAAGCGCTGTGGTTGCAAAAAAAAGTGTTGGCGGATCTACATTGACTCCGGACTTTTTTGCGAAAAGTTGAAAGGTTGTGCAATGCCTTTAATTTATAGTAGTAAAGTATGTATATACATTTATTGAATCGAAAGTCGAGAACTCGACACTTATTCTAGTTTTTCGGGTCTGTGACCTCTAGATCCTAACATATCCTAAGCTCTAACAATTCGTTTTAGGGAACTGGTGTCGTCACATATCAAACATCCGTTTCCGTCCTGTTTGCTTTTTTCCCTTTGGCGCCTGGGTTCGCTGGACACATGAGGCGATGGCAGGCCGTGCACGGAACTGGCGGCCTGGGGCCTCTTTCATTTTGTCGGCCACGAAGATCTGATAAGATATCCAATGCCACCGACTTTGAATTGGATTTCTTTGCACCATCCAATGAAAGCGGCTTTGCCACTGCTGCATGAGTCGCATGACATCCATTTTGCTTGGTTTATTGCCGTTTCAAGATTTGCCCATACTGCCAAGGAAATCCAAGGAATGATTCTACATGTTTGCTGGAAGTGGCATGCAATCATATGCAATAATATACTCAAATGACCACATGTGTCGTTGGACTTTTGCTTGATATAGGTCACTAGTCACTAGTCGTAAGCTTGCCAATCGCGCGCTCGGTGCGAGGTCGCTATCGTTTTCACAAAAGGTCATTTACACTGCACTGCCGGCACTTTTGCACTTCATCAACACCAACAAAATGACAGTTCACATTTGCGTCACAAACAAGATCAAATATGTGGCCAGTATGTATGTGCGTATCATTGCACAACGCTGTTGTATGGCCAGAGTGCTGTGGTCAACACAGCGGTGCTCAGCTTCGTTTGGGTGAAGCGCCAGATGAAGTGCGCCTCCTCCAAGAGGGAAAGAACGAAAGAACTATGAAGGAAACAAAATGCTGCTGTCAGCTTTATGTGCATAGGATGGCAGACAAAGAGCAAAAGGAAGTCGAAGAGTTGCAGGCAAGAATGGCAGAGTGGTGTACTCCTGGGTGTACCTGTTGCCAGTCGCATTTGTGTTGTTTCCTTCAATTTCCTTCCACATTCTTGTCAATGAAAGGATGAGAGTGTCCTGCTGCTCCAAATGCACTTCAATTCTGGTTGCACTTTGTATTTCAGGCTACGATTGCAGAGGTTTCTGCGGACAATTGGAGCGCTAATAGCCGATACAGGTGGAACTTCAATTTGACCGTCGTCAATGATGAAATGTGTGTTTTTTCCGTCCTTTTTGGGGAAGGTGTTTCTTTGCTGCCCAGCAATACTACTTGCTGAACTCCAGCGGTCCAGAGGAGGTGTAAAGCCAAAAAGGCTTGCCACTTGTTCGGCCAGGGCCAGATTGCCTGAAAGTAAACGGGTAGATCATGCACAAAATCAACCGATAGCCCTTTGGGGAGGAGACTGCTCCGGAAGCCAAGAAGATGCTAGATGTGTTGGCTCAGTGCCGTGAGGCTTGCCGTATGCTTGCTGGTTGAATTCTTTAGTTTCAACAATTCTGTGTTCAATCATGCTGCTAACAGGAGTTGTACCTGAAGATCCCCAAGGAGCGTTTGAGCAGTTCTCTTGAAGTGCATGTTGCCTCGTTTCCGATAGAGCAAGGACACTCCGGCCTCTCGACCCATTCAGCTTATGGCGACAGCTGTCTCACAAAAGTGACATGTACAAGTGCAATTGATACAAAGGGTTTAATTACCGATGTACGTGCTTCCAGAGGACTTACGTGCGAGTCAATTGTCCTCCACAATAGTGGGGCACGATCAAATTGCTCGCCGCTTCATTCGATAGTAGCGACGTCGCGCCGCGCCAGAGGGAGGAGTTTTCCCAGGGAGGAAAAGGGTGGGGTTGCTCTTGGTTTCGTGATGGAGGTAGCAGCTGTTCAAGGGCCAAAAGAGGCCCCTTTGAGGCAACCATTCTTTGCTCGGCATCCTTTCGCAGTGCTTGTGATGCTTGTGTAATCTTCTTCTCACTGGGAACTGCCAGCCCGTGAATGCATGGATGTCAGCTGCAGTGCGGTAGCATTGTGCTTGCCAAGCACGCTTTGTTTTGCGCTGTAAGACCACGAGAACGATATGGTTGACTCTTGATATATATAATAAAAATATATATAAATAAGTCAAAGTTTTCCATGCGGATTCAACCCCTAACTTGTCATACATATGGGACATCATGTACAGTCAAACACTCCATGTCGTTCCGACATGTATTGGCTCAAGAAAAGCGCGCGCCCGTCGTGCTTTTCAGCTTCCGCGCACGTCGCTCGCTCGCGCTCGCCCGTGCAGGCTTTCGTTGGTGCGGGTTGTGTTTGGTTTCGGGTCGGTTGCCGTAGGTGCTCCCTCCCCTAACTCACACCCCACTCCCCGTCGTGTTCCATCCCATACTAGGGTTCAAAACACCATTGTGAACATCTCCCACTCCGTAGGTTGTGGTGGCTGTTTGGTGCCGATATCCCTGAACCCTTGTCACTTTCATTGGTTATCAGCCGTAGGTCCAACCAACCTACGAGCTCTAATAGTCCGCCTCTTTTAGACCCAATGCCAAGGGTTACACCTCCTAGGTCACCCCGTCCCGAGTCAGCGCAAGCCGCTGCCTCCGGCGCGGATTCGCTAGGACTAAGTAGTGACCCTGATCCTAACCTAAGATCCGAGCCAGCAGCCGCCACGCAAGCCGCTGCTCTAAGCGCGGATTCGTTAGGGGTAGGCATGAATGAGGCAGAGGTTGAGGTGACGTCCTTGTCAGAACTCGGTTCATTAGCCGTCGATGCTTTGAACTTGTTCGTTGACAACCAAGACCCACCAGCCGCTGCCGCAGGCGCGGGTTCGGACAGCTCGAAATGGGCAGGAGCAGCCTCGGAGGCTGATTCAGGACCAACTCTCTTTCCGCCATCCGTGATTGAACGCGAGGACAGAGATCTCGAGCTTGAAGAGCCCTTCGCCGGTCCAATGGGCCTAGAATACCCGGGCGATACTGAGATCCACCCTCTCGACAGCCCCACAGCCGAAGGCCATCCGGCCCCTGTGGATGAGCATTCGTTAGGTAATACCCATGCTATTCCCTCCCCTGACCAAGACCAACCGGTCCCAGCGGAGGAGACTTTCGTGCCACCCGAAAGCTTAATTGCCCAGGCCTCATCAACACCTAATAGTCCTCCCCTCCCCACTAATAACTTGTTTGATCCTTTTTGGTGAAGACGGGGACTCCTCAGCCGAGGAGGCAATAAGTGAGGAGATCGCACAACGCATCCAAGAGCAATACGACTTGGAGGCGGCGCTTGAGGAGTCCGCTCAAGCCGCAGGTGTCGAACCTGAGCCAGCGGATTTAGGTGTCGGTGAAGCCGCTGCCATTGGCGCGGGAAAAGGTGAGAGAGATCGCACTCGTAGGAGGGGTTGCCGAGCCGGTGCCAAGCACGTTGCAGGCCGTGAGAACCTCTCCTATGGAACAACGTGTGAGTACATCAGTGCACAGCTTGGTGACCCCACATATGCGCGGTTCGGCCGCCGCTTCAATCTCCCTCACATTCCCCCACAAGTTGCCCGCAAGCAGTACCCAGAGTGGTTCGGGTATGTCCTTCGCCACTCCGACAGGTGGGCGTCCGATTCGGAAGGAGACTTTTGCCGGTAGATACCATCACTAGATGGGCAACTATCTTACCTGAGCTTTGGCAATTCTTGTACACAATCGACCCCTCACTATTGCAGGGCATGCCACAACCTAAGTATAGACTACCCAGAGGATACTGGAGCTCGGATCATCCCTTCGTGCCTCTTCGCCACGTGCGCTCGGCCGAAACTAAGGTTGCTCCGCCTAGGACAGTATTCAATTCCGATTCGAAAGCCTCGTCTTCCGCCGCTCCGCCTCGTGTTGATCGCTCTCGGTCCGCAGCGCCCAAGGCTACCCCTGGGTCGTCATCAACGGCCAGTGCATCAACATCAGGAGCACCTTGGCGTCCCACGCTTGATCGTGCGTGGGCACACCCCAATTGTGTTGACACCTCGTTCCCAGGTCGAAGCCAAAGCTTCCAAAGCCAAGGCGGGCAAGTCGACGTCAAAAGGGGCATGAGTCCAAGCCGAAGTCTGTCGCAGCAGGGCCGAAGACTAAGCAGGCCGCAGCCTCTGGCGCGGGCACCTCGCATTCATCTAGTAAGCCTGTCCCACCTAGTCCACCCGCCGGTCCTGTCACCGCGGGTCAAAGGGTCGACCCAGGTCAAGGCTGGAGCTACGTTTGTCGAGGTCCCCAAGCCATCATTGCCGCTTCGACTTCCCCCACCACCAAAGGGTCCGGCGCCAAGTCCACCGACAGAAGCCGACTCGCAAGACATGTCCTCCGTACACGGTCCCATGCGAGCCAGCACCATCAGTTCCGTACGGTGAGTCGGAGCCACTTGACGCCCCGGGACCAAACGAATATAGCTACCGCGGCCCACTTAAGCAGATGATACCAAAGTGGACTCGTAGCAACCCCGAACAAGTCCCGGTACTAAGACCCGTCACAGCGGTCCCTCCCACTCGCCCTGACGCTGACCAGCTCGACATGAGCGTCATGCATGAGCAAGACGACAACCTCGAGCCGCTAAATAACGAGCTCGCCCATGCTAAGGCTCGCGCGTCCAATGCGCTGGGCGGAGCAGCACTTCGTGGTGATCTCGAGCAAGCATTGTCGCAGGCGAGGCCGGAGTTCTCGGCCGAGGAGGAAGAAGACGTTGTGGTTGAGGAGGAGGAGGAGGAGGAGGAGGAGGAGGAAGAGGAAGAGCAAGGGGCTGCCTCGCCCGAGGCGCCCGAGTCAGATCAGGACCAACCAACAACGAGCGCAAAAGCCGCTGCCTCCGGCGCGGAACCAGTCCGTCCGGTCGTCATGACCCCAGGTCCCGGCCAGGTCCCGGTGCATTCATTCATCGACACTTGACATCCTTCCGCTTGCGCAGGACCCAGTGGGACCGTGAGCATGAGCCGTCGGTGCCGCTTGAAGAAGCTCGAGACCGCGTGTACGACCTCGACTGGTCTAGCACTCCTCAAGCCGAAGGGGACCAGTTGCTTCCCTCGTCGTCTACCATCCAGGTCAATCCGAATGCAGATGTGTATGAGCTAGATGCAGAAGATTCGGACAACTCCGATCCTGAAGCCCGCTCTCGCCACATTCGTAACCTTGAGGGTCGAACTGAGGACGCCGGCTGGCTCACCTGGCTTGATGGTGAACGTCCTAAGACTAGCCAACCTAGTCGTCCCAAACCTAAATTTGTCGAGCCAGCATCCAAGCGAGTTCGTGTGGTCGTAAGCGCCGATGCACTAAGGGGGACGCCCCCCGTAACGCCCCCGCATGTTCGACAAGTGATTGTAGTCCCTAAGAATAAACCTAAGGGTGCATCAGTAGCTGCAGGTCCTAGGGTCCACTCTCTGAACCTCAACTGTCAACAGCCACTGAGACGGTGTTAGTGCCATCCGGCCTGCCTCAGCCGCCGCCTCAGGCGCGGGATGCTGCCCAAGCAAGTGCTACACCTATCGCACCTCCGGTATCTCAGCCACCAGTTGTCAAAGCATCGAAGTCCCACAGCACGCC